ACTCCTCTCAAACCACACAACAGAATTTCATGAAACCTTTTCAGATAATAAGGACATACTACGTAGATGTGCATATCGACAGGAAATTACGATTCAATTTTTTTTTTCTAGGAGTTACGCCCCTTTGAACTTATTTGCTTCAATATACCTCTGCAACAGTTTGTCATCGCAACTCCTATGAAACCACACAACAGAATTTCATTAAACTTTGTAGATAATAAGGAAATACTAGGTAGATGTGCATATCGACAGGAAATTATGATTCAATTTTTTTTTCTAGGAGTTACGCCCCTTTGAACTTATTTGCTTCAATATACCTCTGCAACAGTTTGTCATTGCAACTGGATGCCAACTCCTCTGAAACCACTCAACAGAATTTCATGAAACTTTGTAGATAATAAGGACATACTATGTAAATGTGCATATCGACAGGAAATTATGATTCAATTTTTTTTCTAGGAGTTACGCCCCTTTGAACTTATTTGCTTCAATATACCTCTGCAACAGTTTGTCATCGCAACTCCTCTCAAACCACACAACAGAATTTCATGAAACCTTTTCAGATAATAAGGACATACTACGTAGATGTGCATATCGACAGGAAATTACGATTCATTTTTTTTTTCTAGGAGTTACGCCCCTTTGAACTTATTTGCTTCAATATACCTCTGCAACAGTTTGTCATCGCAACTCCTATGAAACCACACAACAGAATTTCATGAAACTTTGTAGATAATAAGGAAATACTAGGTAGATGTGCATATCGACAGGAAATTATGATTCAATTTTTTTTTCTAGGAGTTACGCCCCTTTGAACTTATTTGCTTCAATATACCTCTGCAACAGTTTGTCATTGCAACTGGGTGCCAACTCCTCTGAAACCACTCAACAGAATTTCATGAAACTTTGTAGATAATAAGGACATACTATGTAAATGTGCATATCGACAGGAAATTATGATTCAATTTTTTTTTCTTATACAATTTTTTTTTCTTAGTTATTTTATTTCTCCAGTGACAAAGTGGGGACGTGAGGTATGTGAGCGCGCTCACTAAGGTTCTTTAATTTAAAAGGAAATCTTTTCAGAATCTTAAAAAAATCATATAATGCTATGGTGCACCTGCTATTTTACCTTATTTCATATACATGTATATATATATATATTGCAGGGTTCTATTCATTTGGGATGTATAAGTACGCAGCCACGTTCAATTACTTAACCTTTGTCAACATTTTTTTTTCTTTTTCAAACTGCTATTTATTTGGGATGTTTGAATACGCAACCTCTGTTGTAATTACTCTACGGTTGTCAAATTTGAAATATTATACCAGCTTAGATCAGTCAGTGCTGTTATTGGGAATGTATTTCCACACAGTCTTTGCTGTAACATCTTAACTGTCTCCACCTTTGAAATTTTAGAAATGTACAAGTTTATATCGCACATTACTATTTTTATTAGAAGTATATCTATGCAGTCTCTGTTGTAATTACCTATATAACCTATGTCATTTTTGAAATTTTAGAATTGTACAAGTGTTTTTGTGTTTGGTTTTAATTGTATAAATTTCTTCGAGATTGTTATAGTTAAATAAGAATAAATTGATATGATTCATTTTACATCATAATCATACTCATGATACTGATGAAGGAATATAAATAATTACATTTAATGTTTCCTTTTTTTAATATTAGTATTGTTTTGTACACTTTTTAGGCATTTATATATATATATATTATATTTGCAAACCAGTGTTCTCCGATAAAATTCTATGTAGCATTTTGGGCAACTGGGAATTTGGAAATAGTTTATCTTATAACATTTCTAGCAATTATATACATTGTACCATCACATCAACAACACAATCTTTAAGAAAATCATTTCAGATAATATCCCATTCAAGCAAAACATATATTACCATGGCATGATGCTTAAAGATACTGGAGAGAACACTGAACTGAAAACCACTGAGGGTAAATCAACCTATTTACACTTCAAAGAGATACATGTTCATGTACTAAAGTCTTCACACTTAGCCACAAGCCCAGCAGCCCAGACTTGTATAATTGCTTTTGCGCCTGTAAAATCATCTCTACATGCTCTACAGGCCAACAGAACCGAACTAAAATTTTCCAAAAATTAAGCTCCAGGGGTGCATTTCACAAAAAATCTTACGAGTAAAATTGATCGTAAGTTATACTCAAATGTTCATGACTTACAAGTGTTTTTACTCGTAAGATATATTGTGAAAAGAGTCGCAGGCTTGTAGATTTATAAGTTTATTGTGAAGACTGATGTGCATTGCATGTTGTACTTTTGTGAATTTTAAACTTTTGAGATTGGATTGCCTCCCTTTGCTCACTACAACTAAAGTATAATATATTGTGTAGCACACAATTGGTCCATTATATACATACTGTATATCATGTATATACTACCGTTCTATCCATCTTGTATAATGATTATCACTTAATTTGTAAACAATGCAGCTCATAGAATATCTTAACTTAACTTCATAGTATCACAGCCCAATGTGTGTACCCTAAGGTTCCAGGGGCCTCGGTGGCCGAGTGGTCTAAGTAGTTACTACTGTAATCACTAGCCAGTCAACACTGAGGTTGTGAGTTCGAACCCCGCTCGTGCAGGTGCACTCGACTCCAATCTTAATTGACTAGGATTGTCAGTTTTCCTATCGAAGGTCGTGGTTTCCTCCGGGCACTCCGGCTTCCTCCACCAATAAAAACTGGCCGCCACGAAATAGCCCAAAAGCGGTGCTTAAAAGTGGTGTTAAAACACCAACAATCAAATCAATCAAATCCCTAAGGTTCCAACAATATTATAGCATATGTTCTAACAGATCACCAAATTATAATCGCCTGATTACTTGTACCTTCACTCCAAAATCTGTAGCTTTCTCTAACAAAGATCTATGTTAGTGTTGTTGAGTGAAAGCTCTTGGTTACTTCTAAATGTTCTATCTTTGTGTTGAGGTGGTACATGAAAGTGTGTAAAGGCGACCATCTTTAAAACTTGAGTTTTGGATTTAATCAGGATATAAAAAAGGATTAAGTTTGACACAGATTTAATGACTTAAACGATATAAAATAAAAACTATGTACTGTGTTTTTGATACACTTAATTCATTTTGGTTAGCATTGTCTTTGGATGCAAAAGGAGAAATTTTAAAGACAGTCTCTCAAAATTAGTTTAATTTTATTGATAAATGAACAGGTTTATATAATCTCAACTTTTTATTACACTGGTCATGCTGGTGATGTCCTATAATGTCATTGACATGTATAGATTTGACCTATAAAAATGGCCATTTCACCAATATGTTTAGGTCAAAATATTTATGAGCAAAAGCCAACATGTAAAACAAAATTCGTAAATATAAATACTGACGTCCGACAGACTAATGTCTTATAGACATCCAATAGATGTTATTTGGAAGATTTATAATACAAGTAAACTTATAAGAAATCAAAAAATTCCTCCCAATCTATAGACTGCCTGGGTATTTTTTATGCCCCCGCCGTAGCGGTAGGGGCATTAAGCATGTTAAGTTTTACCCTTGTCTGTCCATACGTACGTCCCAAAATTTGTTTCCATTCTTTAACTTTAGTTTGCCTCAACCAAATGTTATGAAACTTATCCACAATGCTTATTACTACAAAATAAGATCGAGTTTGAATTTTGGTGGCATCACTTTTACCGGTCGAGAGTTATGCCCCTTTACAAACGGAAAAACTGCTGATTTTTTTCATTTCCATCTAACTTTAGTTTACGTCAACTAAATGTTATGAAACTTATAAACAATGCTTATTACCACAAAACTCAGATCAGTTCAAATTTTGGTGGTGTCACTTTCACCATTCTAAAGTTATGCCCCTTTACAAATGGAAAAATTGCTGAAATATTAGTATTTGTTCTCTAACTTTAGTTTGCCTCAACCAAATTTTATGAAACTTATGCACAATGCTAATTACCACAAAACACAGATAAAGATTGAATTTTGGTGGCATCACTTCTACTTTTCTAGAGTTATGCCCCTTTAAAAATGGAAAAATTTCTGAATTTTTCGTTTCTGTTCTCTAATTTAAGTTTACATCAACTAAATGTTATGAAACTTATAAACAATGCTTATTACCACAAAACTCAGATCAAGTTCAAATTTTGGTAGAGTCACTGTTACAGTTCTTGAGTTATGGCCCTTCATAACGTAATATGCAAGCGGGGGCATCATCTGTGTCCCATGGACACATTCCCCATTTATTTACAATTATTATTTATTCACAAGTTTGTCAAATGTTCAAAAAACCAACTACATATGTATTTGTTTTGATTTTGCCTATGTAACGTGTAGCTATGGACTAAATACGGTAACTATACAATATGATATTGATACATGTAATTTTGCCAATAAACACATTACAAAAAATAAAAGTGGCCTAATCCTACCTTCTCCTTGATAAAAACCTATAAAATTTGCTATTTTGTGTCAAAACATTTCTCTGAGTAGTATTTTGATCTTGTGTTAACAAATGGTTAATATGCAAAATGGTTAAACAATATTTTAAGCATAAATGTATAAATATAGTATCTTTAATATTCATTTTCCAATAGCATTTGACAACTTATAGACTTTGACCCAGCTGTGAGTGAAACAATTACAGGGGAAATTGGTCCTAGCTATATATAGATTTGTAATTCTTTACATATTATATACAAGGATACTAGTATAAAACTTGTTTAATAAAATTGAGAATGCAAACGGGAAATGTGTCAAAGAGACAAAAACCTGACCAAAGAGCAGAAAACAGTCCATGGCCACCAATGGGTCTTCAACACAGAGAAAATCCAACACCCGGAGGGGGGCTTTAGCTGGCCCCTAAACAAAAATGTGCACTAGTTCAGAGAAAATGGACGTCACACTAAACTCCGAAATTTGTTTTCAGTAACTAACCATTGTAATATCTGTCATTTAATTATATTTTGCAGAGTTATGGAGGTAACCATTGTATCAGAGGTTGATGTCTACATCACTGTTATAACTGCCAGGAATGTTGATTTAACAAAACAGATTATAAACGATCCCTTCAGTATAGACTCTGTTAAGGCCCTTAGGGAACAAGAAAACTGTGAAAAGACCAAGTCAGTAATTGATATAGCCAAACCCAAATTTTATTTGACAGCTTCTGCTCAATGCTTATCGGCAAATGAAATTCTTAAATTAAGTCATGTGACCAAAGTTGACCAATCATCTATTAATTCTGAAGGCGATCAGGCAGAACCCTCTGGTGATGAAAATGAAAATGTTGAATTTGTTGCTGAAGTAATTGATATTACAGACCAAAACCATGAAAACCGGGTACCAGAAATTAAGAAAGAAAGAGCAGAACAAGTTATCACACGTGCAAAAAGCTTACAGAAACAGTCAGAAAAATGTACCAGTATGTTAGATACAAACTCACAGATAAGTAAGCCATGCCCTCCTTTTTCAACAACACAAGCAAAAAAAAACAAGCTTTTTAGTGACCTTGATTTACAGTCCGTTATTAATGATGTAAACATGTTTGTTGTGAATGAGGCAAACGATGGGGATTCAGATAATCACGATAATCTTATTTTGAACAATCAGAAAAGGAAAGCTGAAAATGTGAAAAATGAGTTTGTGCAAGATGAAAACAAGAAAATTGTATGTGATATTTGTAAAGAAGTTTTTCCTCGAAAATTGGAATTGCGATTACACAGGAAAATACACGAGAGAAATTTTCAATGTGAGAAATGCGGACAGGTTTTTCAAAGAAGTCATAGTCTAAAAATTCATTACAGGAAAAGTAACAATGGTAAACAAAACAAATGTTCATACTGTGATAAAACCTTCAATCAGTTGTGTAGTGTACATGTCCATGAGAGAGTACATACTGGGGAAACACCATACTCGTGTAATATTTGTGGACAAAATTTCAGCAACAGTGGTGAATGTCGTCTACACATGCGAAAAAATCACACAGGTGAACAACAGAAAAATGTAAAATATTTTACATGCCAAATCTGCAATAAGTCATTCAAAAGGAGGGATACTTTGAGGATCCACTACAAAAGGCATAATGGCGAGAAACCATTTAAATGCAGCTATTGTGATATGAGATTCATTTTAAAATATACCATGCAAAAACATGAAAAAATTCATACCGGTATGAAAGAATATCAATGTGACATTTGTAGTCGTAAGATAAGGTCAAAATATGAATTTCAACAACATTTACGTAGACATAAAGGTGAAAAACCTCATATATGTGAAATTTGTGGTCGAGGATTCTTCGAGAAGAGAAAATTAGAAAATCATGTCAAGATACACAACAATGAAAAAGCTTTTATTTGTCATTTATGTGGGAAGGGTTTGAGTCATTCTGGTGCCTTGGTATCACATATGAAAATTCATACAAATGTCAAAGGTCATACATGTAATATTTGTGGACGTGCATTCATGCATCATTTCAAGCTTGAACGTCATATGATGACCCATACTGGTGACAAACCATATGTATGTGAAACTTGTGGATTTAAAACAGCTGATGCAGGCACACTTAAAGTACACAAACGTCGCCATACTGGCGAAAAACCACACAAGTGTTTAGTTTGTATGAAATCTTTTCGAGCGCTGCGTAACCTCAAGAAACATGAGCAGATACACCAACCTAACAGGATTGATAGAAGGAGAAAAAACCCAGCTAACACTAAACCAACTAAATGTTTAATTTGTCAGAAAAACTTCAGTGTTCATAAAAGCTTAAAACGCCATCTTAAGAATGTGCATGGCAAAAGTATAGATCAAAATGAGAATGACCATGGCAAAGGTCTAGATCAAAACATGCAAAATGAGAATGGCCATCTTGAACATTTTGAAAATGGCAAAGGTATAGATCAAAATAAGCATGGGAAAGGTAAAGATCAAAATGAGAGTTGCCATCTGGAGAATGAACATGGCAAAGGCACAGACCAAAATGAGAGTAATCACATCATAGCAATTCAGGAGACTAACAATGTGATTATAGAAGATGGGGTTAATGTTCTACCGGATCAAATATTGGTGTATTACATATAACTTTCAGTTTCACAAAGTTTATAACAGGCCAAATACAATAAAGATATTGAATACAGGAATACAAGAGCTCAAATTACATGTATGTTTCAATAGTGTTCTGAAGTAATAAAATTAAAAAGAAATGGCACAAAGAATTTGTCCATTGACATGTCAGTCAGGGGTAAAACAAGTATACAAGTCATGTTTATTTACTTGAAGATGTAAGTAATAATTACTTGTTTAAAATAATTTGTAGGATCTTTATTTTCAAGGTTTGAATTATCTCCCCTTAATCTTCTCTTAAAATTTTTTCTTAAACCTGTAAGTAAATTTATTTTACCTGAAATTTAGGGAGGTCAAAACATGCCTTAACAACATTTTTTTGGTTTGCTAATTATTTTTAAAATAGAGTTCAACCTTTTATCTCAAGAACTAAAAAAAGAAATCTATTTGCACAGATGTTAAGTAACCGTGGTAACTGGGCAAGGCCTTCAAATATTGCTCCTTGGGGGCTTGTAAATGGAGCAGAATTTTAAGATAACAGAAAAAGAAGATTTCATTGTTTATAAATTTATACTTTTATGAATAGTATTAGTAAAGACAACTGTTACTTAAATTTATAAATGTAAAAAAATCTGAATGTCTAACATGTCTAAGGGATATAACTCTACCTCCAAAATAATTTACCTGTACCAGTAAATAAAAGACACAAATATTACACCTGAAGTGACATATCCTTACGGTAGTGTGTAGTGACTCCTTGATGTATTATAAATACATATAAAATGATGAATGAGTGTAAAGATGAACCATCAGGGACCTCATGTGTCAATGTGTAAACAATTGATAGAAGGTCATGTTATTTTTGTATGGGTGAAATACAATTCCTTAATATGAAGGTATACATGGTACAGCTTGTACAAAAATGTATAGTAAGTGGGCTATGTCACAGATTTTGGTAAAATTTTGCATAAATATACTTCAATTGTCTTAAAATCATCAAATCTCTAATTACAATCTCATAGATTTTTCTTCAAAATTGATATGTTGTTGATCATAATGCATAAATTTTGTTTGATTGAAATAAAATAATATATAATTATTTTTTTAATTTCTAGTAATCATGGTAATAGTTCAACAAACTAAATTTAAAGTTGTATGCAAAATTTAACCAAAATCTGTGACGAAGCCCATTTACTGTACCAATTGACCTTAACCATGTAAACAATATTTACTCATTTATCAATGTAAATATGTGTACCATATTATCTGTCATTTCATTGAATTAATTTTCCTATCACCAATCTGTTGCGTTTATCTACAAAAGTTAATTGAATTAAAAAATCAATTCTCCATGTAAACCATTCTGTAATTTGCTCAACAGTCATGACATAAAAATAATCAAATTCGTAGATTTACCATGTTTACGTCAATGCATGTTCATACAATATACATTCCTTTCATTGCCTTTAGCATGTTTAGAGCAGCTGTGTATATTGACATTTTTTGTTTTATTGTAAACGTAAAAGGCTTGAATTCAGTTTTCATGTTTAAAAAAAATATCTTTATGTAATCATGGTAATGAAAATACACTTTATGATTTATTTCTATAAAATTTATAAATTTAAGACGAAAGAAAAGAGGAGATCATTTCTTACATTTGAAATTTTATATTTAGAAATAAGAACTATTTTTACTTGTTCAAGTAAAGTCCACCAACTGATGATTGATATTCAGAATAACATAAGAAAGTTTGATATTTATTGGAGAAATTTTGTTTCAATGTACACACATTTAAATGCAAAAAAAATGTCTGTTTTTGTCGAGCCTGCAACTTTTGTTGCAGAAAGCTCGACATAGGGACACTGATCTGGCAGCGGCGGCGTTAACTAACTTCTTAAAAGCTTAATATTACAGAAGGTAGAAGACCTGGATGCTTCATACTTTAATTTGTATATAGATGCCTTATGATATGAAGTTTCCGTCTGTCATATGATCATTGTCCTTGACCTCATTTTCTTGGTTCAGTGACTGCTTGAAAAAAAAGTTAAGATTTTTTGTAATGTTAATTTCTGTCTTATTATGAGTAATAGGATAACTATATTTGGTATGTGCGTACCTTGTAAGGTCCTCATGCCTATCAGACAGTTTTCACTTGACCTCGACCTCATTTCATGGATCAGTGAACAAGGTTAAGTTTTCGTGGTCAAGTTCATATCTCAGATACTATAAGCAATAGGTCTTCTATATTTGGTGTATGGAATGATTGTAAGGTGTACATATCCAACTGGCAGGTGTCATCTAACCTTGACCTCATTTTCATGGTTCAGTGGTCATAGTTTAGTTTTTGTGTTTTGGTCTGTTTTTCTAATATTTTATGCAATAGGTCAACTATATTTGGTGTATGGAAATATTTTAGGATGTACATGTCAGTCTGGCAGGTTTCATTTGACCTTGACCTCATCATGCTCATTTTCACTGTTCATTGCTCAATGTTAAGTTTTTTTGTGTTGGTCTGTTTTTCTAATACTGTATGCAGTAGGTCAACAATAATTTCTGTATGGAATTATTTTAAGATGTACATGTCAGTCTGGCAGGTTTTATTTGACCTTGACCCATTTTCATGGTTCATTGCTCAATGTTAAGTTTTTGTGTTTTGGTCTGTTTTTCTTAAACTTTAAGCAATAGGTCTACTATATTTGGTGTATGGAATAATTGTAAGGTGTATATGTCTGTCTGGTACCTACCTCATTTTCATGGTTGATTGGTCAATGTTCAGTTTTCCTGGTTAACTTTGTTTCTTAGATACTTTAAACAATAGGTCAACTATATTTGATGCATGGAATGATTTTAAGGTATACATGTCTGTCTGGCAGGGTTCATCTGACCTTGACTTCATTTTTATGGTTCATTGGTCAGTATAGAATTTCCATGGTTTGGTCTGTTTCTTTTATACTATAATAGGTTATCTATATTCTGTGTATGGAATGATTGTATTTAAGGTGTACATGTATTTCTGGCTTGGTTTATCTGACCTTGACCTCATTTCTTGGATCATAAATGTTAATGTGATACTTGTAGTAAAACTTTATGTGTAGGATTATCAACAAAATCAATGGTCAGTATAGTAGGCGAGACATTTCAGCGTGTGCACTCTTGTTGAAAAATAAGCATCATAAGCATTTGGAAAATGGTACAGTTGTAATTCTGAAAGAGACTAATAATTATGAAAATACATAAGATTTTCCTTAACAATTGAAGGTCCACATTTCTGTTTTTTTAGCTCACATGATGCAGAGGGCCAAGTGAGCTTTTCTCGTCACTTGGCTTCCGTTGTCTTCATCGTCCGTTATCTTTTACAAAAATCTTCTCCTCTGAAACTACTGGACCAAATTTAACCAATCTTGGCCACAATCATCATTAGGGTGTCTAGTTTTACAGATGTGTCTGATAACCCTGCCTGCCAACCAAGATGGCTGACATGGCTAAAAATAGAACATAGGGGTAAAATGCAAGTTTTGTCTAATATTTTGAAAACCGTAATAATTAGAGAAAATCTGACAGAGCAAAAATGTTCAGTATTTTGAGCTCTACCAATTGTTTGATTAAGTTAAAACTATTAGTGGACTTCTTATAGGAGTTATTGCCCTTAAATGACTGATTTTACCATTTTTTTTCATTTTGCCTATTATGAGTGTCTTGAAAACTATGATAGATACAGAAAAACTTTAAAATGCAAAAATGATCAGCAATACAAGATCTACAAATAAGTCTGCATTGTCGAAATCATCAGGCCACTCAATGTTAGAGTTATTGCCTCTTGATGTTTTTTACCAATCTTTTGCATTTTGACTACAAACAAGTCAAATTTTGCCGATATAGTTAGTACACTGCCACTCTTTACTGGAGTGATTGCCCTTAAAAATGTTAAATGAGGATTTTTTTACCCTCTTTGTGTATTGAGCAAAAACTTATGAAGATAGAGAAAAGCTAAACAGACAAAACAATCAGCAATACAAGATCAACACATATGTTTGTCATGAATTCTATTCTCTTCTACAATGAGTGTCCTTTGTTCAATTAATATGTACATTGACCTAGGTGAGCGACACCGGCTCTTTAGAGCCTTTAGTTTGTCATTTTTATATAAATAAATGTTTAAGGATGTTCGCTACTCTTGTTATATGCCCGTTTACGGGATGTATTATGGTACACTGTTATCCGTCTGTCAGTTCGTCTGTCCATCCGTCGTCAACATGTCGGGACAATAACTCAAATTATACCAATTTTCATGAAACTTTGGTGAATTGTTTATGTCTATTGATGTAAGCTCTCTTTCAATTTTTATAAGTTTTGGTTTTTCCGTTTCCGAGTTATTGGATTTTATTTATAAAAAAAATGGTTTTCCAGTTTACCGACAATAATGCAAAAATGCTTTCAGTAGTTTTCATGAACTTTGGTGACTGGTTTGTATCTATTGAAATAAGCTCCCTGTAGTTTTTTTTAAATTTCTGCTATGACTTTGACAATGTTTGAGGAGTAACGGAACTTATTTCAATGAAAAAGCAATGGGCGTATCATGCGCTCTTTCTTTTTGTCTTATTGTCAGATATTCAGAATCCTCTAGTTTTATCCATGTAGTTCCAATAAAAGTTTTGCCTGCTTACCCTTACTTTTCTTTTCATAGTTTTATAACATAAAGTTTAAGTCTGTAATTTTTTTTTTAAATCTTATAAAAACCTTGTTATTTTTTCATTTTTTGAAAGAAAAAAGGTGCCAATGTTAAATGTATGAAAAATCTAGAGAGAATCATTTCCTGCCAAATTTTGAATCGATTATATCTCAAAAACAAGAACATGGACCTTTCGGTTTTTTCTGCTTTTTATGTTCCTTTATTGTCCCCCATGCAATGCATTGTGGGATACATAGAAACATCAGGCATCTGTCCAGTCTTCCTAGCGCTCTCACATGTACAATTCTTGCCAGATTTTTATAAAACTTATATAATAGGTTTATATCAGCATTGTCTTGGTCAAATTCGAAAATCACTGCCATTCAATTATTTTTTAAAGAGTTAGGCCCCTTGGAAATATTCATTATATGGAAAATTGCAAAGTCAGCGTTCTCATGTGTACAATTATTGCCAGAATTTTATTAAACATATATCATAGGTTTGTATCAGCAATGTCTTTGACACTTTTTGAAAATAAGTGCTGATCAAATATTTTGAACGAGTTATGCCCCTTGGAAATATAAATTATAATGGAAATCACATTGCATTTGCTCTGAAGCCTTTATTTCTCCAAGATATTAATAAAAAGTTTTATAGAACAAAAAAAAAGTGTTTTTTTTTTTTAGTTATTACCCTTGTACCTTGGATAGATAAAATATGTGCAACGCAGGGGACATTGGAACTCTGTTCTTTTATTTATATACTCTCAAATCGTACTTTCTTGTTTATTTGGCGTGTTATACTAATTGTAATGCTTTTTTGTTATTTAATGTTATTCAGGGTTATATCTGGTCTATATACCAGCTTTGATAAGTGTTTGGTATTACTATAAATTTTCACTTCTTCGTACTACATGTACTATGAATATCAGAATTATTTATTTTGTAAAAATATTTCCTTTCTCTATTTGAACTGTACACGTATACCTAACAACAAAATTATTTTCATTTACCTATGTTTAAAGTAATTGCAAATGGCTGATATTTTTGTTCAAGCATATTGTTTTTCTTAAATTGTTTAACATTTCACAGCGGTATAACATGTTACTTTTATTATTCTTCCCTTAGTTTATTTATTTTGTATTTACATTGTATCATAGATCAAATTTATTTGTTCAGTGTATGTTAACTGGTATTATGTCTTTTGATTGCGTTATGCCATTTCAAATGATATTTTATAGTGTGTCTTTCTATGTTGTGATGTTACACTTTTGTTTCAGATAAGGGTGAAGGTTTGTTACCATTAAAACGTTTAAACCCGCTGCAATTGTTTGCACCTGTCCTAAGTCAGGAATAGAAGTTGTTGTTTGTTGATGTGGTTCATAAGTGTTTCTCGTTTCTCATTTTTGTCGAGCCTTCGACTTTTGTCGAAAAAGCGAGACATAGCGATCCTACATTCCGTCGTCGTTGTCGTCGGCAGCGTCCACAAATATTCACTCTGTGGTTAAAGTTTTTGAAATTTTAATAACTTTCTTGAACTATCCTGGATTTCTACCAAACTTGGACAGAAGCTTGTTTATGATCATAAGATAATATTCAGAAGTAAATTTTGTAAAAAAAAAAATTCCATTTTTTCCTTATTTTACTTATAAATGGACTTAATTTTTCTGCCAGGAAACATTACATTCACTCTGTGGTTAAAGTTTTTGAAATTTTAATAACTTTCTTAACATAACCTGGATTTCTACCAAACTTGGAAAAAAGTTTGTTTATGATCATAAGATAGTATCCAGAAGTAAATTTTGTAAAAAAAAAAATCCATTTTTTCTGTATTTTACTTATAAATGGACTTAGTTTTTCTGCCAGGAAACATTACATTCACTCTGTGGTTAAAGTTTTTAAAATTTTAACATCTTTCTTAAACTATCCTGGATTTGTACCAAACTTGGACAGAAGCTTGTTTATGATTAAAAGCTAGTATCTAGAAGGAAATTTTGTTAAAATTTTGTTCTATTTTTTCCGTATTTTACTTATAAATGGACTTAGTTTTTCTTCAAGTTAACATTACATACAGTCTGCAGTTTAAGTTTTTAAAACATTTATTACATTCATAAACTATCCTGGATTTTTACCAAACTTGGACAGAAGCTACTTACAATCAAAACATAGTATAGAGAGGAATACTTTTATTAATTTTTTTTCCTCATTTTTGTTGAGCCTGCGATTAACAGCAAAAGTAGGCGAGACACTGGGTTCCGCGGAACCCTTACGAATTTTTTATATAGATTAGACCGTTGGTTTTCCCGTTTGAATGGTTTTAGACTAGTAATTTTTGGGACCCTTTATAGCTTGATGTTCGGTGTGAGCCAAGGCTCGGTGTTGAAGACCGTACTGTGACCTATAATGGTTTACTTTTATAAATTTTGACTTGGATGGAGAGTTGTCTCATTGGCACTCATACCACGTCTTCTTATATCTATCAATTTATTACAGTCTTTTTAAAAGCTTGTTATTTTGAAACAGAGGAGCCAACATCCTTAATTGGTTGATTTGCAGGTGATGTCCAGTTTATAAATTTACAAAATATGTAGCTCACTGTACTCACCTGGCCTAATGGACCATACGAGATTTTTGTCTTTTGTAAAAGATAAGGAGATGAGAAATATAATGCAAATGAGACAACTCACCACCACCAGAGACCAAATGACATACATGTAGATATTAGCAACTATAGAACTTCAACAATGAGCAAAACTCATACTACATAGCTGGTTTAATAAAAATGTCCCTACAGAACAAAATCTAAAACATTTCAAACAAGAAAACCAATAACCTAATGTATGTACAAAACATTGTACAAAAAGTAAATATACTATAGAGCAACAAATGACAACCACTGAATTATAGGCTCTTGACTTGGGACAGTCATTTACAGAAGGTGGAAGATTAAACCTATTTGAGGGCACCCAACCCTCTGGAAATATGCTTTTTGAGTTGAGTCACAGAATGCAAGACAAAGGTATGATAATCTGTCTGCTCCAGCTTCGTAAACTATTTGTATATAACTTTGTATTTCTGAAGGTACAATACCTAAATGCTTCATACATGTACCTTGTATATAGATACATTTATATTACAAAATTTCCTTCTGTCATATATGCATTGTCCCTGACCTCATGTTTATGGTTCAGCAATTTATAGTCGACTCCTTATCAGAGTGATTGTCCTATAAAAACGATTTGACTTTTTTTTTCATTTTTGCCTAATATCTTAAAAACTGTATTAGATAGCTAGAAATAAATAGCAAAAATGATCAGCAAGACAAGATCTACAAATAAGTCAAATGACCGAAATTGTTAATCTACTCCTTATTGAAGTTATTGCCCTTTAATGACGATTTTTCCCATTTTTGCTTATTATCTAGAAAACTTTAATAGATGAATAGAAACTTTAAAAAGGAAAAATTATCAGCTGTATAAGATCTACAATTATGCCAACATGACTGAAATTATCAGTTAACTCTTAATAGAGTATTCCCCTTTAATGATGATTTTTACTAAAAAGTGGCCATTGTTGAAGATGCAGGTGAGCAACACAGGCTCTTTAGAGACTCTATTTTATACATAGTGTATATATGTCTCTGCTTTATGTAATGTAAATTTCTCACTTCAATATTATGATTACTAGAATAGTTATATTTGGTATTACAAGTGGTCCTTGCCAGGTGTACATGTCCATTAGACAGGGTTGACCTGACCTAAACATGATTAGGTTAATTTCTTACATACTATAAGCAGTAGGTCAACTGTATACTGCATGTTACATGTATGATTGTAAGGTGTACATGTCAGATTTGAAGGTTTCACCTGACCTTGGCTTCATTTCGTGGTTCAATGGTCAATGTTGTGTTGAATATTTTCCCATGGGAACATTTTTTTTTCCTTTATGATTTTTCGGAATTGGTCAAAAGAGCTATATAGTAACGTAACGAACTGATGTGCATGCACTAATAACTGGGAGCAGTTAATAACATTTTTTAATTTCTGTAAAAAAAATGCAATTATACTATATTAAAAGTATTTGTATCATACTTGTATATTCAAAAGTATTTTACTGGTAATAAATGATAGATAGATATACATTGATTGTATTGTATCGTCGTTGATTAATTGGTTACTATTTAACGTCCAGCGGCAATTATTACACATCGATCACCACTTAGATGTTCAACTGATTGAACAGAAAATTAAAGTTGGATTCAGTGAAAATGCAGTTTGTTATGCTACAATTGTGACCTTTAATTCAAATATTTTAACATTTGTGTCGAGGAACAAATAAAATTCACATCAATATGTGCATTGCTTTGTTCTAGACTGAAACGGTGGGCGTATGTCAACAATAGTTATGTCTCAGAAGACATTATTGTGAATTCAAACCAAATTAACCTATGTTCCACATATACACATTAATACTGCGTGCTTGTGGAAGAGAAGAAAATATCAATCTCGATTAAGCGTGTTGGGTTTTTGAACAAAAAATCTCCCGAAATCGTGGAGAATAAGCTGGCGAGACTACCATATTTTGCTAATTGTTAGGAATGTCCCAACTAAAAAGTTGTAGTGTTTTTGTTGGTTTTTTCTAGCCGTCTGTTAAATTATTTATGAGAACTCTGACCTTATCCTTATTGTAATGGTTCATTGGTCAGTATTAATGTTTATAGCTTTGGTCCTTTTCTCAGTTACTAAATGTAAGCAATAGGTCAACTATATTTCAGAGTTCCCGAAAAGTGTATGGTGGTCCGAAAGTTTTGACCACCAAATTTTGCAAAGGACCGACATAATTTTTGTGTTTTGCAATAGAAATAATAGTGAGGACCAGCAGGTTTACTTCAAGGACCATCAGGGAAATTTTCTTTTCGCGAACTCTGATAATTGGCGTATGACATGATTCTAAAATGTACAAAATTTTCTGGCACAGATACATGTACTATAGGCAAAAGGTAAACTATATTTGATGTATGATTTATATCTGTATGGCGAGGTTCATTTGATCTTGACTTCGATCATTTTTATGCTTCATTGGTCTATGATAAATATCCATGACTATGTAACTTTCTCTGATACTATAAGGAGTAAGTCAACTTTTTTGGTGCATGATGTAGTTAGTAAATGTAGTAGACTAAACTTTGTCAGATATAAGCATAGTGTTGTATATACATGCAGAACAGATTTATGTATAAGAGAGAGATACATTTTATTTCCAATAGAGGATCCATTATAGACATAGTCAGTACATTGACTTTTTATATCACACAATTGGAAAAGACTACACAAGAAAATAAAAAAAAATAAATACAACTGAAAAAAACATGAAATACAAATTGAGTTAATAATACATATAGTCACGTAAAACAGTATGTTTAGTGTTTATTGACCATGCACCAGAAGCAGCATCACATCCATTATAAAAAAAGCTTTTGAGTCAAGTCCTTCCTCGTGGCTAATGCATATGAACGAATAGTATTGTTGTTCATATGCAGGAGTCACCAAGGGCAGGTGCTTAAAGGACACTCAAGCCAATACACAGAAATATGAAAACTTTACAACACAAGCATAAACTAATACTAAAAAAGAATTACTATATTATAGTCCTCCTTGTGGTTAATGCACATAAATAAGATTAATATGTAGTTATCCAAATGCAGGAGCCTCCAAGGGCGGGTGCTTAAAGGACATAGTAATATATTGTGTAAAATTTTTGTGTAAAAATATTTGGATTTGGATGCAGCCTCTAGCACAACTTGTCCCAATGCTCTGAGAGAAAAAAGAAAATACACAAAAAACACAAACAATGGTATGAATTATGAGTATTTTTCATTCTGTTTTATGAAAGCACACATTTCGTACAAGATATCCTTGTTTTCATTACTCATTAACCAAATAAACTCATCTTTAATTGTCAACATATCAAAATTAGCACAATATTTCCTAGCACAAAGTATTTATTGACATGCAGGGAAGTCTGTGAGCTTTTAGCTCTGTGATGAAGGTCTCACTTTGAATTAGGATAAAGAACAACAATTAAAGCCTCGTTCCTGTGCTTTTCATATGATGTTGCTTATCCTATTTCCCAGTATACTAGGACTAGTTATCAGGTGCGGATCCAGGATTTAGAAAAGGGGGGCTCCCGGCAAGTCAACGTTTGGAGTGGTACTTGTAAATTGTCTATGCATTTATCATACATGTATATGAAGCTCCATTAAAGAGGGCGGGGGGGGGGGGGGGGGGGACTACCCTTTAAGGTCGCCTCTGGTTATATCATAATAACGTTAAGTCTTAGTGGTCCTGTTAAACCATAGGTTATCAGATTGATTGATGGATTGCAGATGCGGATCTAGAATTTTGAAAAAGGAGACCCACCAAGGCAACGTTAGGAGTGGGACTTGTATTCATCAACCTTATGTGTAGCGCCATAAGCTCTTCTCCCTAAATCTACATCTGAATTGATTAACGTCCAGTGGCAACTATTGCATGCATATATTCAGGTTCAGAAACCATTAACAATTAATACAAGTATAATATGTACTGGATTAGTTGTGAGCTAGCATAGTGTCCTATTGTAGGTCGTTCAAGGTAGACCGACCGAGATGAAGGCGTAGCCCTTTGTTTGTTTTTCCATATTGTGTGTTGATTTCGATGATTTTATTGAAACAGCAGTATAACCTTTAGTGTCAAGATTTTTATAACCCAATAAAGTGTGCAGTTATAAAATCAATATAACAAGATTACAATTGAAATTCTTATCTTGTATCTTTAAACCGTATTTTGAATATTTGTACTGCATGGATATTTGCCAGTTTGACAGGTAAATTGTCTAAATTTACATATCATGTTATTATAATGTCATTTCCATAATTTTGTAAGATCTAAATATTTCTCTCAGTGGTACACATTTCCTGTCGATTTTGACTTTGACTTCTTGAGAGAGAGAAAAGAAATACCGGTATCACAGGGCATTCTTACAATCTAAAATATATCGTGTCTTAGTTTAAACAGTATTTGTTAATGAAACATTATAACAATGAAAAAATACAGTTTCACCTATTATCCCGAATATTATATATCTTGTCTTGCTTTGATTTCGTCAGTGAATAAGTTATCCATTGTTCGTAAAAGTTGCCCTTATTTTAATTTTAAATGAAGGTTCTTGATTGTGTAAATTTCTGTACACCATGTCTTTGTTTTGTACTCTGATTTGCTTTTTGATACCACCCGAGGATTGATTGGGTATATAAGCATTAACATCTGGACTTCCCGACCCTGTACCAAACCCACCCTTTGGAGTCACAGATTGCCTCTGGGAGGATGTATAAATACGCAGTATTTTCTGATGCTTTATGTGAGCATTTAAAAAATGTGCATACTAATTTGTGTCTCAGCAGGGTCGGATCCAGCCATTTTTAAAAAGGGGGGGGGGGGGGGTCCAACTATATGTCCCCATTCAAATGCATTGCTCGTTCAAAAAAGGGGGGTTCCAACCCCCGGACCCCCCCCCCCCCCCCCTGGATCCACCACTGCTCAGTCACATATCGACAAATGAGGCAACATATAAAGAATAGGGAATAATAGGGCGCATAAATATAAGGAATAGAGAATAATGGGGTGCTTAAATATAAAGAATAGAGAATAATAGGGTGCTTAAATATAAAGAATAGAGAATAATGGGGTGCTTAAATATAAAGAATAGAGAATAATAGGCAAAATTTATAAGGAATAGAGAATTGATGAAGATGTTTCATATACGTCAATGAGACAGCAATCCATCATTGTAACTTATGGTTTATGAGAATAAAGACTATTATTATCAGTAGCGGGTCCAGAATGTTTGAAATGGGGTGTAATTCCCGATATTTGAAGATATAGCACCGAGAGAAGCGAGGCGAAAAAGACTTTGGACGATTTTATACTAAAATTTTATATATATCGTGAAAAACATATTTTTCATTATAGGGGGCGTACTCTCGTTCCTCCAGCGATTATATTATTACAGCAAAATAATTGATTGTATCTTATGGTATACACAAAAATAAAGAAGTTAAGTCCTCAGTTTAGAGTATAATCACAGCTTGTAACCATTGATTAGACTAGATAAACATCGTTGAGTATCACGACCTTGTATTATTTATTGAATCTAGTGTAAGGAAACATGTTGTGTCGAACACGCACAAAAACACTCGTCAATCATATTTATTTGATGTTATTAAATTGTCAAAAAGGTATTACAGCCATTAAATTTCTCCTTGACATCATTGATGTACGTTTCGGCAATTAAGTTTATCGACAAATTGTAGGTATTCCTATGGGCACCAATTGTGCCCCTTTAATAGCAGACTTGTTCCTGTACTGTTATGGATCACAGTTTATGGCCAAACTCAGTAAAGACCCGTCTAAATTCCATTCAATTGATAAATTCAACAACACTTACCGTTATCTTAACGATATTTTTTCGTTGAATAATCAAGAATTTTCTAAATATACTGCCGAAATTTACCAACAACAACTTACTTTAAGTAAATCAAATATTAACAGCAATAAGTGTCCTTTCGTAGATTTAGATATTCCAGTTTTACACCAGAAAAACTATACACAAAAATTTGCGACAAAAGGGATGATTTTTCTTTCCCTATTGTTAATTTTCCTTTTTTGGACGGTGATGTTCCTCTGGCACCATCTTACGGTGTTTATTTATCCCTGCTCGTTCGTTATGCCCGTGTCTGTAGTGACGTTTTGGATTTAAATGAGCGTAATCTATGTATCACAGGTACATTATTAAGTCAGGGATTTCGTTACCAAAAATTACTTAAAACTTTTACTAAATTCTTCCATAGATACAAAGATTTGGTTTGGCTGTACATGTAAAAAACTTATTTCAGACGGAATACTCAATAGCACATCCTAAATTTTACGGTGATGTCGTTTACCGAGCCCGGAAATTTATATACGATCCGGGTAAACTTATCAATCCTTTAAATAAACTTATTCTAAAAGGTTACCAATTCAGCACTGTAATTAGATCTTAGAATAATGTTTTTATTGGTATAAATATCGATTTCGTTATCAGTAAATTAAAATCATACTAATAGTTTTGTTAAACACATATGCACTTTAACAGTACTACAATCTGTCGATCGTTTGGCATTTTGGCATTGCACAAGGTCATGTTTTTCTCTGACTGTTAATGACGTCTTTACACTAAATCCATTGAATGTTGGATGTGTACTGATTGATAATTTAGTCTTAGATACATGATTTTTTTTATTAGTTGTTATTGCATGGCTTTGAACTAGCTGTCAGTAACTGCGAGTACTCTCAGTTCTGTACTCAAGTGTCAAGAGATGTTAGAGATGAGGGATGGATAAATACCCTACCATGTCCAATCTGTGTTTATGTTTGATGTTTTTTCTGCTTTGTATCGATCTGATGAGTTGAACCTTTTTCAACTGATTTTTATAGTTCGTTCTTATGTTGTGCTGTTACACCACTGTCCCAGGTTAGGGGAGGGTTGAGCGCTCACAAACATGTTTAATCCCGCCACATTCTTTATGTGCCTGTCCCAAGTCAGGAGCCTGTAGTTCAGTGGTTGTCGTTGATTCATGTCTGTCATATTTGTTTTTCGTTAATTATTTTGTTATAAATTAGGCTGTTAGTTTTCTCAATTGAATTGTTTCATATTTTTCATGTCGGGGCCTTTTATAGCCGACTATACGGTATGGGTTTTTTCTGATTGTTGAAGGCCGTACGGTTGTCTATAATTACTTACATCCACTTTATTTGAACTTTGGTGGATAGTTGTCTCATTGGCAATCATACCTCATCTCCTTATTTTTATAAAAAATTATTTATTATCAAATCTTGAATCAGATGTATGTCTTGATCGAAAAGAATATTATTTTTATTCGCGTAAAATCGTCAAAAAGAATTTCGGCTCGCTACGCTCGACAATACCTATACCATTACGGACAATTATCCCCTTTTCTTCCTCTAACACTGGATTCCCTCTCCCCATTCCTGTAAAATACAACAATATTAACAATGACACGGAGATAATTATCTTAACTGCTGTACATTTCTTGGTATCAAGAAACATACATTTTAAACAGACATGGTAAATAATAATATTTCCATACTTTGATACAAAACATGTCTTAGAGAAGCTGATTTGCAAGTGTCCTTATTTTCTGTCCATATCTAGACAGTTTAGCAATAGATACATGCACTGTTTCGAATAAAAAAAGGGTGCTCCCTTTCATTAAATGAACGTTGTGTTGTAACAAAAACATGGTTCTTTGTAGAACATTACTACTAAAAACGTTATCATGTAGTTCTGGCCCCGCCGCAATTCATCCCCACCCAATCCATCTCCAGCCAATGAGTCCCCCTAGTCGATCTTCACCAGAACTTAAGTAGATCTGTCCTCATATATGACTAATAATGTTGCGATTCAAATGGTATGGGTTAGTTGACTTATTGAATTTAAAGTTATATTATAAATAAGAAATATTTATTTGAAGTAGATTTTTAAATTTTTTAAAGCACACTTTTGAGAACTTAATTGTGATGTGTCTTCTAGTTTTCTATTTTTTTAATGTTAATGTGACTACAATGTGATTCAAGTTGCTTTATATGTCCAACAATTCAATAATAGCAAATCAAAATGTTTAGTCATTCTTTTTGTTATACCAAAAACATACACACGTGTATGTACTGTACTTCCAAGAAAAATGAAGAAGCCGCTTCTTGGTTTTTCTTGGAAGTATACAGTGAAGGGTTATAGAAAATTTAGCAATGTTGTCTTCCTTTCAAACATACCAAAACATAGGAAGCCATTTTGATAGGAACAAAAATCCTAATATTTTAGAAATTTAACCAATAAGAACAGTGCTATAATGTCCCCCGCCTCTGCGTCCGTCCATTTGTCTGTCCATCCATGCGTCTGTCAGTCTCTGGTACTTTGTGGAAGAAACGCCTCTGAGACCGGAAAGTTTATTTTACTGAAATATTGTACGATAGGTATACAGAATATGGATTTGATCATTCCAAACTGCCGTTTTGATTCCACAAATTTTACAGGAGTTATTGGATTTAAAAGGTTTTGTGCATTTGAAACTATAGAAACACTTTTCGGACGCAACTCTTCTTAGACGTGTTAGACCGGCTGTTGGATTTTTTTGAAATTTTGTAGGATGGTTAGACACAATATGTACTTTTTCATTCCACACTGCCGATTTGCTTCAACAAACTTTATTTTGATTAAAAAAAAAACAAATATACGTCCTATACAAACTTCGAAATTCCACTTTACAAATCATAAAAGTTATAATTCATAGTTACGATTTAGAATGAAGAAGTTTCATTGAACAAATAAAAGAAATATCATTTCACAACTTAAGAAATGTAGAATTTCATGTAACGAACGAAGAAAATACGTTAACAAATTGAGAAATAGCATTCACGCCGTTAAGAAGTTACATTTTACAAATCAAGAAATGTAGAAATCCATGTAACGGATGGAAAAAATACATGTTATCAATTAAGAAATTACATTTACAAATTAAGAAATTGCATTTTACAAATTAAAAAAATTGCATTTTACAAATCAAGAAATGTATAATTGTGGCGGATATTTCCTTCCATACCTGATTATTAGTTTCAATTACTTAATCATGATCCAATCAAGCGACCTCGTCATATATTTCATATTATTAACTCCCAACCTTATCACAAAAGTCAGGAAGCTGGAAAATCGACCTATTCCAGCGGGTCATCATTAACACACATTATATATGTACACAGTAAATCCCACTCTGAGATGATCTGAGATGTAACATAACACTTTCTACTGCTTAATAAACTTAATGAAGATTTATAATTGTACATTAATTAATTGTGTTTCAACTTTGATATATTTTGTGATAACATTAAGCTGTATATGGGCGTTTTTCAATAAAAGTGTGAATTTCAGACCTAAAAAAAATGGAAAATCAACTTGTCTAAAATTTTATTTCAAGAGTTATTTTGAATACATCTATTATAGACCTGTTTGTAAATAAAAAGTGCAGTCTTAAATACTCTTTAAAATGATATTATTTTCATAATTTATGTACTGTTTCGTAGGGGACATTTGTCCACTACGAAACTGCTTCTAAACGCACATCTTATTGCATTTTAATGTCTCCTATAGACATTCCAGTTTATTTTACTTTATATACTAGAAAGATCTCATTTTTTTTCTGAATTGGAGAACCATTTTTTATCGATAAAGATTAGACAGTACTTCACATATGAATGTACAACTCATGTTACGTAGTGGACATTTTGATGAGTTTCGTAGTTGACAAAACAGTTTCGTAGTGGACAAAATGTTTCGTAGTTGACATCAACCCTATTCTATGTTGATAAAAACATACTGAAAATTACATGAAACTAACCCTTGTTAATTGTTTTGCACGAATATAATTGAAAAAAAGAGTAAAAAACGACTGCATGGTAGTGGTAGTGTCCACTACGAAACGTTTTTCTCCCATACTTGTTTCGTAGGGGACCGTTTCGTAGTGGACACATTCACATGTTTTATTTTTCCCCCACAATCCCTATACATGTAGTAACAAGAATGATTCTATTCATCAAAGCACGTACTAAGCTGTACACTGTTATTTTTTTCATAATTTTAAAACCAGATACTGAAGGAGATTTGACCCGTTTCGTAGTGGACATTAACAAAAATACGGTATCACTCTGGTCCATTTGATGTGCTCAATTTTTTTTGCCAACAATTTAACTGCCGTTATAAAAGCATCACTTCTTTTGTAAGACCCTAATGTTTATATCTCTTGCAAACATTGATTTTATAAAACTGTTTATTAGCAAAATTTAATGACTTCGTTTCGTAGTGGACATTGTGTCAGGAATGTCAAGGGACACACCTTCTAAAATTAAAAATTCTTTGTCAAAAACTGTTTAATAAAATATGTTAGCTCTAAACATACTTTTGAATAATTAAAGAACTTATATTAAGTATTAATAACATTTATTTCTACCTTTTTTTACAATATTTTAGAGTATGAATGTTGAACAGGAGGTCTAGGGACATGCCATTTTGGTTATTTTGAACCATTCAGGAATCAATATCTTATTAATCCCTCTAAAAATAGTTATGTTTCTTTGCTTACAAATGTGAAATCTAATTCAATGTATTAACTGCACAAAAAATTACTTGTAAAGATCAAACATATTTTTTTTAAAGTGGCTGGGACAAGAAATCACGTTTTTATCAATATAATTATTATTTGAACTTTGTACTTTTCATATCACCTTTGCATGGTCTATACTAATTATGCTAATCATAAATGTATGAGAAACTCATACTAATTTTGTGTGGCCGTCAGTACACAGTTTCAAATGGCAGAGGGTCTGGATGGGGGACCTTGATTTCTATATATATTCTTTAATTCTGTAGGCTATTTTTTCTCTATTCTTTATACGTTTTGCCCATTTCTCGATTCTTTATATTCTAAAGCACCTCATTATTCTCTATTCTTTATGTTTTTGGTCATTATTTTCTATTCTATAAACCCCCATCCACACCCTCATGGCAGTGCCTTACGCCAATCGATTTTTGTGTAATGCGTTAACAGTGGTGTAGTTCTGCATACTTGCGGTTATTTATAGAATTGTACATCCTTGCATGCCACAAACATGGTGTAGTTTTTGTGTAATATCTCACGGGGAAATATCTATTTTGAACGACATGTTGTGTACATTGTGTACATGGTGTAAGTACATATATTATTATCTTCCTCAAATTTCATTACGTATTCACTTATAAAATGATAAAGGGTTATGATCAACATGATCTAAAAATGAGGAAAATTTACTTCATTTATCATGTTTATACAAACGTTGATCATAGTCAAAACTCTTGAGTATTGCAAACCAAGAGAAATTTAAATAAAAGAAACCTTTTATACATGATCTTTATTTATAAATAAAATTAAGTCGTAGTTTAACGTGCAGTAAGGTGTGTTTATATCAACAAAGTAGCACATAACCCCGGCTACATGCTGAAAGTTAATGAGAGAACATTTTTTTTAACATAATTTTGCCTGGAGACAAGTAACTATTCGATTTCATAGCATGTACTGTATGAGTCACACATTAAAACAACAGTTGAACTCCCAATGGAAGAGAGAATCTTATATTGTTCCTCAGGTTATTTTGTGATCAGTCACCCCCTACCCCCGAAAGTAACCGATGATGATATACGCTAGGACACAAAAAGGGGGGAGGGGGGGTCTCATTCTGTTAAAAGGTATACACAGACGTGCCGCTGGTATGGGTCACTTTTTTTTAATGTCATATTTACCAAAACAATAGGTAGAAATTCATATGTCAACATGGGCAATGGGTTTCCTGTGTATATATAGCTTGGCAAACATCATCATATACAGGTTTTTCAAAGTAGGGGAAGGGAAATTAAGTTTATAAATTTATAAGGGAGGAAGATTTTGAAAATGAATATTCTGGTCTGTTTGGCACTGAAAATAAATAACCTTACGCAAAACAGAAGATCGTCTAAAAAAGTGAAAATAAATTTAGCGCGGTAAAGCAGAACGAAAAAAGCGTGACTCGCAAAACGTGAAAGGAATATTCCCTCAAACCCCACCTCCCCCGCCCCCCGCTTTCTTTCAGAATCTGAAATGATCGTTCTCTTAGATGTTTTTAGCATAGTATATCTTCTACTATTAAGAATAAGAATTTCAATTTAGCAAATTATGGCCCCAGGAGGGCATATATTAACACATATTAACACATAAACAATACGATTAGAAATATTTGCAGAACAATAATATATTCAGTCTATATATATTCTATTCTATTCTACCATATAGTGACCGCCTTCAACAAATTGAAGATTATGTCACAGGAGGAAACTTACAACAAGACATAGATTGATATATACAATTTTTAAAAAATACGAAAAAATAAAAAAATACTTGAGTTAATATTGATGCTTTGAAATTGAAGATTTGAAAGAGTCTACAGAAGTGCAATTTACAATGTTATCTGGTATATATTGTGGGTATAATCAGAGACATATAATACATTTCTTTCTATTCTGGTATAATCATGGATTCCGAAGTGAAATTATTGATACCTCCATCTTGTCCATGGTATCATGGACCTTACACATTTATGTATTTCTTATTGGTTATTTGTTTGTGACTTAAATTGTTAGCTATATTTATTTATGTGTATTTCTGTGTCAAATGATCCTTTTGCACTGGATATTTAATACTGAATAAAATGAGTTAGTTATGTAAATTAAAGTCTTCTAACAGAGACCTATCATTAATTATGCATAAGAATTTAGATAAGGCCAAACAAAAAAATTGTTTTCCATTTCTTTACCTGCCCTATCTCGACCCTCCTCCAAAATTCTGCATGTCTGCAAAATATTTGGTTTGTGTTCATCTGAAGAATTCTATTCTTATAACCTTGTTCACATCTCCACATTTCAGAACTCAATACTTGCATTAAACAATTTTTTTATTGACTTTCTATATATTGTATATATATTGATCCAAGGAGGATAAAAGAATATCAAACCATATAGAAGTTTGGCTGTGTATTGTGACCTTGTGTGCATTCACGGTTTGACAATATTAAATATCATAGTATCCAAGATATAGCTTTAAAAAACTCATCACATAAAAAATAGTCAGAAATAAAAATCAATGCCTAATTTAGCCACAAACAATAACGAAAAACGATACCGGCGGGTCCGCGATGATAACTAGTCTGCATAATTTATTTATTTAGTCTTTTACTTTGTATACCATTTTTATACGACCGCAAAAATTAAAAATTTTTTGGTCGTATATTGGTATGACGTTGGCGTCGTCGTCGTCGTCGTCGTCGTCTGGCGTCGTCCGGCGTCGTCCGAAGACACATTGGTTTTCGCACTCTAACTTTAGTTTAAGTGAATGGATCTCCATGAAATTTTACCATAAGGTTCAATACCACGAAAGGAAGGTTGGGATTGATTTTGGGGGTTATGGTACCAACAGTTAAGGAATTAGGGGCCAAAAAGGGGCCAAAAATAAGCATTTTTGTAACTTTCAGACAATAACTTGTGTGTAAGTGTATGGATCTCTCTGACATTGTACCACATGGTTCCATATCACAAAGGAAATGCTGGAATTGATTTTGGGGGTAATTGCCTCAAAATTTTAGGAATTAGGGGCCAAAAAAGGGGCAAAAAACAAGCATTTTTCTAGTTTCATGACAATACCTTGTGTGTAAGTGTTTGGATATTTCTGAAATTGTACTACAAGGTTTCATATCACAAAGGGAAAGCTGGAATTGAGTTCGGGGGTAATTGCCTGAAACGTTTAGGAATTGGGGGCCTAAAAGGGGCCAAAAATAAGCATTTTTCTAGTTTCAAGACAATAACTTGTGTTCAAGTGTATGGATCTCTCTGAAATTGTACTGCAAGGTACCATACCACAAAGGGAAGGCTGGGATTGAGTTTGGGGGTGATGAATCATAAGGGGGTTCAAAAAATTTGGGGGGGGATTTTTTTTTTCTTTTTTTTTCTTTTTTTCCTTTTTTTTCTTTTAAAATTTTCCATTTTAAGTTGGTTATTTCTGATTTATATTTAAAAGCAAATAATAATGATATGGTAGGAGATACACACCAAACAGGATGTGTAAATTATTATATAATAAGTATTGTGCAATAGCAAGAAATTTTCAATTGCACAGTATTGCACAATAGCAAGAAATCTTCAATTGCACAGTATTGCGCAATAGCAAGAAATCTTCAATTGCACAGTATTGCGCAATAGCAAGAAATATCCAATAGCACAATATTGCGCAATAGCAAGAAATTGTCAATTGTACAGTATTGCGCAATAGCAAGAAATATTCAATTGCACAGTATTGTGCAAAAGAAGATACTTCGTATAAATTGCTTATTTCTTGATCAATTTCAATGGGGTTTTATTCTTGAATTCTTGGGGTTCTTTAATATGCTGAATCTAACCGTGTATTAAGTTTTTGGATTTTTAAATTGGTCCACATTGAGGTCCAAAGGGTCCAAAATTTAACTTTGTTTGATTTCATCAAAAATTGAATTATTGGGGTTCTTTGATATGCTGAATCTAACCGTGTATTTAGATTCTTAATTTTTGGTTCCGTTTTCAAATTGGTCTACATAAAGGTCCAAAGGGTCCAAAATTAAACTTAGTTTGATTTTAACAAAAATTGAATTTTTAGGGTTCTTTGATATGCTGAATCTAAACATGTATTTAGATTTTTGATTATGGGCCCAGTTTTCAAGTTGGTCCAAATCGGGGTTCAAAATAAAACTTTGTTTGATTTCAACAAAAATTGAATATATGGAGTTCTTTGATATGCTGAATCTAACCATGTATTTAGGTTTTTGATTTTTGGGCCCCGTTATCAACTTTGTCCACATTGAGATCAAAAGGGTCCAAAATTAAACTTTGTTTGATTTCATCAAAAATTGAATTCTTGGGGTTCTTTGATATGCTGAATCTAACCATGTATTTAGATTTTGGATATTGGACCATAATAGGTGAATGTCCAATTTAAGATTTTTAAGTTATTAGACCACATTCATTCTGTGTCAGAAACCTATGCTGTGTCAAATATTTAATCACAATCCAAATTCAGAGCTGTATCAAGCTTGAATGTTGTGTCCATACTTGCCCCAACTGTTCAGGGTTCAACCTCTGGGGTCGTATCAAGCTGCGCCCTGCGAGCATTTTATTCTTTATTAAGTCTCCCAAACGAAGTTTAAGAAGACTTATTGGTTTTGCTCAGTTCTTCTTATTATTATTATTATTCTTGCTCTTCCGCCACTTTTTTTAATGAACTTGTCCGCAACATTTCTCCAAAACCGCTTGTCAGATTTACTTAAGGTTTCACAATATGTTAGATTAACATGTCTAGTGGTGCAATCAGGGTTTCGTTTGTGCACTGGGGTCTAAAAAGGGGTACTTTGAGGGGCCAAAAGAAGGGAGGGGTTTACTATAGAACCCTATGGGATTTTTTTTTTTTTCAAATGATTATAACTTGAAAACCGTTAGTGATAGACACAATTTTTATAATTGAAAATGTTCTACATGATAAAGCACATCTAATGAAATAAAGGGTTCGTCCCCAGGGGTCACCCCACCCCCTGCCATTTGACAAAATTGTAATATCTTGTAAGTGGTCAAAATCCCCAAACCTAAACCATATATATTCTGGTTTGTCATGATAAAGCACATCAAATGAAATAAAGGGTAAGTCCCCAGGGGTCACCCCTACCCCCTGCCATTTGAGAAAGTTCTAATATCTTGTAAGTTGTCGAGATCCCCATCCCTAAACCATATATATTCTTGTTTGTCATGATACAGTCCATCAAATGAAAAAAAGGATTAGTCCCCAGGGGTCACCCCCACCCCCTGCCATTTGAGAAAGTTCCAATATCTTGCAAGTTGTCAAGATCCCCACCCCTAAACCATATATATTCTTGTTTGTCATGATACAGTCCATCAAATGAAAAAAGGATTAGTCACCAGGGGTCACCCCAACCCCCTGCCATTTGAGAAAGTTGTAATATCTTTTAAATGGTTGAGATCCCCACCCCTAAACCATATATATTCCGGTTAGTCATGATACTGCACATTAAATGAAGTAAAGTATTAGTCCCCAGGGGTCACCCCCACCCCATGCCATTTGAGAAAGTTCTAATATCTTGTAAA